GCAAACGGTGTTCGATCACCTCCGCTTTTATCCCCGTCAACTCCTCAGCCGTATACGCGAAAACATCCGCGAACTCCCTGATCAATTCAATCAATTTTGACCTTATGGGCTCCTCAATCTCTTTTCCTATCCGGAACTTCCTCTCCTCGCAACCTTCTACCATCTGAACCTCCTCAATCTCCCCTCCGGGCTGCATCTCTACTCTCTCCTTCCCTTTATCTGCCTTCTCCCTTTCCTCCTTCGACCTCGAGCCACCTGGTCGATTTGTCTTCCCCTCATCGAGCTTCATCCGCTTTCTCGAGAGCTGTCTATTGTTGCTCACCATGGTTTGATAACAACTCCTCGAGGTAAGCTGATCTCCTGCGACCTCACCAACGTTTTCGTCCACTGGATATTTGATCGTCATATGGTACGTCGACACGACCGCCTGGAATGCATTCAAACTAGTCCTTCCCATTATGATATTGTATGATGACTCTGCTCCCACGACCACAAACCTCACCATTCTCACCTTCCTCGTTATCCCATGCCCCAAGGCGACAGATAGGCTCACCTCTCCCATCGACATCACCTCGCCTCCATTAAATCCATACAAGGCCGTGACCACCGGCTTCAGCTCGAGGTTGAGTTCTTTGTTTATCTGCACAAAACAATCATAAAACATTACATCCACCGAGCTCCCCGTATCAATGAACACCCTCTTTACATCAAAGCCCGCGACCTCCGCTGTTATCACCAACGCGTCATTGTGGGGTAACACCACTCCCTCTGCATCTTCTGCTTGAAAACTTATCTCCGGCATCCGAGCAGTGATCCCCACCTCCTCTCTCTTTCTCTTCACCTCTCGAACATGGCTTTTCCTTGCGTTGTTCGAGTCTCGTCAGTCGGGCCCCCCGAGATCATATAAACCGTCCCTCTCTTCACTGGTCCATGATTCTCCTGCCCTTGATCTTGACTCCCTCGTCTTCTTTTGCCTCCTCGATCATCTCTCCCTCCTCGAGGATCGTCCTCCTCATCATCATCATCTCGATCACTCCGCTCTACTGAATCCTCCCGACACCTTCCTTTGCCCTTCCCCTTCGCCTTGTCCACATATACGAACTCCTTAAGATGTCCTGCCCTAATAAGGCGCTCGATCTCATCCTTGAGGTGCCTGCACTTCTCCGTCGTATGCCCATAATCCTTATGAAAACGACAATACTTCCCCGATCTAGGTTGCGTTGGGCCCTCACGCCTCGACTTCGGCCACGTCACGTCCTTATTCTCGATCTTCTTCTCAATAGCCACCAGTACCTCCCCCATTTTCGCATTAAGGGGCGTAAAGTTATGGAACCGCTTCCCTCCAAACACTGGTCGATCTTTCCACCGGTCCTCTCGCCCTCGATCAACTCTGCCATGCCCCTCTCTCCTGGGCGATCTCCTACCTGGTGACGCCTTTCGAGGTGAGCTCGCCCTTCCCTTATTCGGCTCCGGCCTGGCCAACTCCTCCAACTTAGCGAACTCCGCCTCCGTCTCTTCCAGGTTAATATACTTCTTACACCTTTTCAGCACATCATCATATGTACGAGCAGGGGTTTTAGCTAAAGATGTTCGACAGGGCCCTGCTCGCAAACTCTGTATCAACCCCCCAGCCTTCACCTCGTCCGAGGCCATGGGGATCTCCAAACACGTTTGGTTGTATCGCGCAACATACTTGCGCAACGATTCTTTCTCTCCTTGCATCATAGCCATTAACGTCAAATAGGTTTTCTCCTGCGCCACCGCACTCGCATACTGGGTCATCAGCTTTTCCGCGAAATCGTCAAAGTCCTTAATCGATCCATGAGGGAGCTGCTGAAACCAATCGAGCGCACCTCCCCTCAAGGTCGACAAGAATGCCCTGCAACTAACAGAATCAGAATAACCATGTAACACAGCCAAATTCTCAAACGCCCTTACATGCCTCGACGGGTCAGTGGTCCCGTCGAACATCAAACTCATGTCTCTAAAATTCGCAGGTAGCGGTGCCGCCAATATATCCCTCGAGAACGGATGTCCTCGAGCACGCCTTTCAGGTCGACCATCCATCTTAGCCTGCAACTGTCTCACTTGCTCCGCGAGCCTCTCCATCTCACGATCTCGCGGGGCTCCATCTCCTCCATAGCTAGACACGTCCTCATCCACCATCGTTGGTCCAGCAGCCACTCGCGAAAGACTTTGAGTGACCTGCTGAACCGCTTGTGCCGCCGCGTTCGCCACCATTTGCTGCATCTCCTGCGTGGTCATCACCACCTGCTGACCGGGGCGCGGCTCCTCCACCTGCGGTGGTACTGCTCTTTGCACCGCCACTCCTTGCTGCAGCGTCACGACCAGATCTGGTTGCAGCGGCGTTGGGTCGCCGCTCCTTGAGCTGTACAAATCTCCTGGGCCCAGCTTGAGCCCACGTCAGCCTCTGGTTGCACCGGCGTGACTCCTACACCTTGGGGAACGGGCATCGGAGTCACCGGTGTACGCAAGGGTCCGGAGAAGCCCGGAGGAGGGCCTTCTCCAAACGGCCTCGTCATCGTCCACGCATCGTCGAACGATGCTTGTAAATCTCTCCTAGGAATTCCGTCCGCCATAGCCACCGAGCTTCAGAAATCTCAGCACACCACTTTTCGAACGAAAGTCCCATAGATGGTGCCAAATGGTAACGCAAAACACTCCGACCGGCTTGAAATCAACTTGTCTCCTTCTTCCTCGCCGGTAGAACGCCGCGTTCCTGCACAGAACTCTCACACCGGAGGGGTTTTCTGGTGAAGAGCCTCCGATGCTTAAGTCAGTATGTGTTTGTTCAATTTTCCAAAGTAAAGAATGGATAAATCGTAGGCTACAAGTAAAGACCCACTCCAATATATATAAGAGTGAGATACCTGCCCTAGAAACTGCCCGGCTTTTTGGTAAGCTGTCTTGCCCGTACTGCCCGTCCGTACACACATAGTGTGTGTGTGTGTCAGAGATGTCAGGTGTGGTTTTCGCCACTATCACTCTGCACCAATATATTCTCGCCACGTGTCCCTCTGAGCTGAGGGAGATTATTCTTCTGCGCAGGCCGTTGGGATCTTCTAACGTCATTCACGCGCCTTCTGGCGTTCAAGCCACGCTCTAGACTGCTCTTCACCTATTGAGTGCTCGATCTCCTCCCTTTTGGTCGATCCTCGATCAGTTCTGCTATTCTGCTCGATCTCCTCCCCTCTGGTCGATCCTCGACCAGCTCTGCTACTCTGCTCGATCTCCTCCCTTCTCGTCGATCATCCTTCTCCCAATCTGGTTTTCTCCACTTCGAGGTTGCTCGACCGATGATGCAAACCGGTCTATTCCTCAGCTATATAATATCCCATATCATTATGAAATTGTTTCTTTCTTAATAAATTGATACGAACTTAACGAAAAAAATGATATGAACTTACCAAAATCTCGATAAAACATAGTTAAAAAAAAAACATAAGAATAAAAATAAATTGGTGCATTTTTGAAAAGTTGCACACGGCCTTGTAAAAGTTGCACAGGATTTTGATATTATTGATTTTTTTTTCTAAATAATTGGATAAATTTTTACTTTAAAATAAAAAATGAACCGATTTTGTTATAAACAAATGGATACGATTTTGAATGTATATCCCGTCCAAATCTCAACTTTGTTTTAAATTAAAAATTGCACGTGGTTTTATCCAATTTGCACACATTTGTAAAAAGATAAAATTATTCAAAAATATTGGAAGAATGTTAAGAATTATACAATTATTTGTTTCCCAAATATATATCCAATTTGCACAATTTTCAAATTCATTTGTATTTAAAATTATTTCATAAATTATTGACGCATATTTTGCATAAGAATTTCCATATTTGTTACCTAAAAAATTTGGATTCAGATTGTGGTAAAAAAAATAATACGAAAAAAATGAGATTCAAAATTTTGTCATAAGAATCTCCCAATTTGTTACCAAATGAATGAAATTCAGATTTTCTTACTAAAGATTCACATGTGTTTTTTGAAAATTTCCACTAATAGTAAGTCAAACATTATATTTTTTTGATCAAACTTTCCACAAATGATTTTTCCATCAACCTTTTTCAATATATATAGATTTCTATATATATATGCTATTCAATTAATGCGGATAGCCTACTTTTCTGTCCCAAACCATTTTGAGCTTAATAAGGTCATTTTTTATTAATTAAATTTAATCATATTTTATTAATTATTCTATCATACAATAATTATTACTAAAATCAACTAATTATAGTTCACACTAAATGGTGTATGTAAGTTACATAATCACCAAAAATTATATTTTCTCAAGTTATTTATTCTAAAAGTGATATTACCTTTTAATCATATAATTAATTTAATGGCATGAAAAAACCCCTTAAACAATTTATGTAATAAATAATGTTGTTTCAATATTTTTCTAGGTAATTAAATTGTTCATGATCCATCAAAGTAACAAAAAATATGTTATATGTTACATTTTATGCAATCAATATATAGATTCTTTGGTAGTTAAATAGTTTATATTTTTATTGTTCATTTATTAATAATAAAATTTAAAAATGTGCTATTTATCAATTTTATAATTTTAGTATTATATATATCATAATTTATAATACTTTATAATTTATATATGTGCATGTGCAGAAGATCAACTACTAGTTCATATTCTATTCTTACTCAAAATCTAAGTCAACTCTAACTCAACCTCACTATCCTCCATATTATCAATATAATTAAATAATATCAACTAATCATTCTTATGCATCACATCAATTTTAATTTACTATTCATCCACTCACATAATTTTAACTAACCATCACTTCACATCATCTCTCTGCTACTTTAAATCAGACAAACATTAATTATTTTATTTTAAATATTATTTTAATATAAACTCAGAATCACACAAACAACAAACTATACCATTTTTTCCAAAATCAACTCAAATTAACCAAAAAAACTCGTTTTTGAGTGGATTCCACTCCTCGGTCATACTTGAAATTTTAGCCAAATTCATTATAGGTAAAGTAAAAATGGTATATAATTTATTGATACAGAATACACCACCCCATACTGTATAGTTACCCGCAATAAGGGTGGACCACTTGTAGAATGTGCTCTATATACCAGTGCATAGTGTTACAAATTTGATATTCACAGAAGTTTAACACAGGCACATACATGAATCTATAACTCACATAATACAATAGGATACAGTAGATGACCCTGTGGTTCTCTCTCTTATGGACTCGAAGCTATAACTCACATAAGGCACAGCGAGCTAATTTCCACCAGCACAAACGGAAAAATAATATCTTCTTCGGCTGAGTATATTCTTCTGTTCTGTCAAACAAGGCTGGGATCCTTTTCTCTCACTACTGTTACTATTCAGCATTTTGTAGCAAAAGAATGATCCCAGGTAAAAGGTACATCAACTGCTTCACTTTTGTTCGTGCTTTGTTCACTCTGCAAGTAACCGCAATTTGCTGGTGTGAAATTTTCCAACACAGCAAAATCGAAAAAGAATATCCAAAATATAGAGATATGACAACGCTGCAAGTCCTCACCTGAATGTACACTGTGATGCCATCTGAAAAATCATGAATCTCCTCCTCTTCTATCTCCATTATCTTTGCAGGCCGTTGCAGCATTTAACCGCTGTTGCAACTGCCAGGACATTATAAAAAGAAAGGAAAAAGAAAATACTATGTTTAGTATAATTGTAATGCTTCAGTTCATTTATTATTCAGAAATAGCTATCAGGAATTTCAATAGACAGAGAAGCTAATCATATCATCTAACTGCACAAAATTGGGGAATACTAATCGCATTTGATCATGTCATCAATGACCACAGATCATGGGGAATATCAATACTGTTCATTACTGCAAACAAACTCTTACTTGCATGTACTTCAGTTTTTCAGCCGTTAATTCGTCGGTCAAGCTATTCATCCTGCAGGTTTTAAGGAAACGGGTTGAGCATTTCTTGAAATCACAGGAATATAAAACTACAAGTGCAGGTTACAAATTTTGGGGGGGGAGTGTGTTTTCCAAACCATTTATAGGATTAAGTCGTGTGGACTCACCTTGCTTGGAGTTCAGAGATCTTCAAAAGCAGCATTCGTTCCCTTTCAGAAACAAGTATCTCCATCTGTGCACATATCAAGTATTAAATGCTGTCTTCCAGAATAATTATGAAAACTGGACAAATGACACAGTCAGCACCAGATCATAGAGATTTAAAGTAACAGTTCAAACTAGAAATTTAACATGGATATTGAAGAATTCCCCAAAAAAAAAAAAAAAAGATATTCAGGTTAGAAGTGATTAAGCATTTAGCACACATGAAACTCGAGGAAAAAAAGTTTGACTAGCTCATGCCATCAATCATTACATTCATATGAAAATAATAAACTTGATGCCTAAGTTTGGATATAATTATCGACATCGCGAGCATCAAAAGTTTGGATTTTAACTTGATGCCTAATTTTTCTTTCTCACTGATGCCTTTTTATGATGAAGATAAAAAAAATGCAACAAAAAATAAAATAAAATAAAAATCTTATTACGCGAAAGGTGAGTGTGCTTACACCACCATTATTTTCAGAAGCACGGGGCAAAGGAGGCAATTTCCCATTTTGAGGAGCTGAAAGGAGTAAAAGGAAGAATTTAAGATAGCAGGCCCAAACCAAAATCTTTTAAAAATAAATAAAACCATCAGATTTTGAACGTACCATTTTCTACATCCACTGTATGCAAGCTACTTAATAAATTCATGATAATATCCTGTAGCCAAGAAGGAAGAGGAAAAATAGGGGCAGTAGCTTGTTAAACATTGTATAGTCATAAGGAGACAACAAATTATGTACCATACAAATGACACAACTTATGCAGACTATCATACCTGTTGAATTGAAGTTTGTTGGAATAGATTCTGAAGGTGGGGCATGAGAATAGACACAAGCCCATTACTGCTACCAATTTCCTTGGGTGACGCTGATTGGGGCTGAAAACCAAGAAGCATAACATGTATTGAGAGAAGTAAACATGAATCAGATTTACTTGAAAGAATTGGGAGAATATAAAAGGTGATTAATAGTGAAGCTGCTTCACCAGTTTCAAATGCCAATTGATAAAAAGAACAATTCACAAACCATTTGTTTAGAATCGAATATCCAGCTTCCAACGCTAGCAGACTTCCTCAATGGCGACCCCTGAAAAACACACCAAGAGTAAAAGTGAACATAGAACTAAAAATCCTCATCCTCTTTTTAAACCTTAAAGGCAATTCTTCTTTACCTGAGAATTTTGTTGAGGACTTGTAGATAATGTAATATCCTAATAATTACTTTTCAGTTAGCAATAGAGACTAAAAAATTTATTATCATAAAAATGTAGTTTACCTTTACAAGATCAACATTTTCTGATGTTACAGAGAATCTCCCTTTAATTTGTACCAAATTCGTCTTTGATTTGTCATCTAAAGAATCTTTAAACCCTTGAAAATATCAAAAGAAGCGAGATTGAGTATTAAACATTAGAGTGATTTAAATGTGCTTCAGCAGAGCCTTTCCACAGTTCAGAGATTGCTTGAGAACTCAAAATAAATATAAATACCTCCTGAGGATTTAATTGGAGCTGATAAACTGTTTGCTGAAGCTCTGTTAGGAAGGTTTAGAGGACCACTAAAACTAGGAGCTTTCCGCCCTGACTGAGCCTTGTCAGCTATTTGGTGGTTTTCGATCTCACACCTGATGAGGACATTTTTGTTTCCAAAGAATTTTATTAAGGTACATCCTGCTAGTGTGCAAAAGCACATAAATGAGGACACATGTTACACTAAAATCATGAAACTACAGGAAAAGAAAACAAAAGGTTTTCCAGCTATGCTAAGATTACCCATGCCTATTTTCCCAAATTAAATTTGTTCCTTCAACGAACTTCTACAAAAATAAAATAACTAAACGACAATGAAAGGTAATGGTAGTCAAGGACTGGACCAAGATGATCGAAATCCTTCAAACATCTATTCTAAATTTTATAGCTCAACCAGGTCAAAAGATATCCATCAGAAACACCTCTTTGTCACAACATTCCCACGGCGTCAGGTGAAATAGTTCAATACAAGAAAAATGGGGCTATCACTTGGAAGTGTTGGATAGGAAACTGATCATAAAAGAATGCTAATTTTAAGGACATTTGTCCAAAGAGCATTTCATTTCATTGGTAGCATAATCATCAAGATCATTAGAAATACAAAACCATGATGCAATTAGTACTGATTATTTATATCGAAAATCTTCCCCCACGGTCAACTATGAGCTCCACAGCTACAACTAAAGTTTGTTGGTATGCTCCACCTATGCATTATAATAATTCTCTCTGGTTTGACTACAAAGAAGTTCCTTAATTTTAAGTTATAAATCGTTCAACTGGGCATCAGAAAGGTATTGAAGGCACATGAAGCAAGCAACAAGAACATCATAATTGTTGCAATTTAATAATAAGAAAAAGAAAACCTTTCGAAGTTGTGCGCTCTTTCGGATTGTGAATGACTTAGCACAGCAGCAGGCACGAGTGGCCCGCTTTGAGTTTGACGAGGCCTTCCAATCTGATTTCTAGTCTTGGCTTGTGCTGCTTCTTTTTCTACTACTGGTGGCGGAAGCTCAGGCTTTGGTTCTCTATTCTTAAGATCAGATTTACCACTATTACAATCATATCCTGCTATAGCATCTTCATTTACCTTTCCTTTATTTGTCTGATTCTCCAGTACAGGCACGTCGAAAACATTTGTTTTTTCTCTGGAGAAAAAAAGAAAGAAAATAGAAACTTCTATAAGTTTGGTCATGGAGAGAGAATGGTACATGTTCGTCCTGTATAATAGAATGCCTAAAAAATCAGCTTGCAGGAACTAAATTTGCAATTTTAAACCAAATAAACTCGAATAAAGTTATAGTAAACAAATCTGTAAGCAGAAAATTGGGAATTCACAAGAAACTAACCTGTCAAAATTATTTGTAGCCATTGTCTTCCCCGCTGAACTAGATGCAACCTATGAACAAGCAGAGAACATCCCCTTACAATCCCTTAAAGCATAAAATAGGAGATATATATATATAAATAACATGGGTATGGAGCACCTCAATAACAAATACAGGGTGTCAAAATAATCTTCATTACCTCTGCACTCGTACAAAATCTGAAGCTGTATTCTTCTTCCTTGATTTCTTGTATTTCATCCTCATCTTGCAGCTGCCAAGAACAAAGAATCTATGTACCACTTGCAAGACTTACGGTTTTCATAATGACTGATCAACTATATCGAAAATTTGATCTACATACCAAAGATGCTTGATGCTTTAAATCTTCAATATCAAAGTTCCATGCACTTACTCCTCGCTGGTACTCACTCTGAAATTGGAAAGTCGAACTTATAAATGAGAAGAAAGGTAAACAAATGATTGCCTTTTCATTATACCAAATATTACAATAATAAAGACCCTGCATTAGCAGCCTATATGGAGCCTAAGGTCAGCAAGAAGCCTTAAAGAATAGTAATTAAGGAAACAATGCATGGCATAGACAAGCAGACAACTAATTTAGTGCTGAAGCTGAATATCGTGTCACGATTGCCGCTGCGTGTGAAATCACATGGCTCAAACAACTCCCACAATTACGTTTTAGTTTTAGGGATATGCTGGGTACCAAACTTAGTTGTAATAATCAAGCCGCTATTCACATTATATCTAATCCTGGACTAAACACGGACTAACCACATAGAGATTGGTTGTCACTTTGTGAGAGAGATAGAGAGCTTTCTGGAGAAATCACCACCGACTTTGTAAGCTCTAGTGGTCAATAGACTACGTGTCAAAATCTCTAAAGAGTGTTAGTATTGATTACATTTGTGACAAGATGAGTACATATGACATGTATGCTCCAGCTTGAGGAGAAGTGTTGAAATATATGATTTGATTTTGTTGAAGATGCTAGGAGGTAGGATTTGAATCTACTGAAGATCTAATATTTATTTATGTGAATTAGGAAGATAAGATATGATATTGTGTATAGCTAGAATCAGGGATTTTGTTTATTTTCCTTTACTGTAACTCTTCTCTTGTATTTATAAATACAGCAGCCTGAGTAACCGAAAAATATACAAGACATTTCACATAACACTTTCTATATCATTCATATAAAGAATGTTCAAGCCATCGGAGTTACACACACACATGTACCCATATATATTGAACACACAACCAACATTAAAAGAAAAGAAACTTAAAGGCAAAGACAACTACCAGATATTGTTTCTTTGTTTTTTATGAGATAATCAGGCTTATTTTACTCAACCAAAAAGCAAAACTTACTAACTGGAGGAAGGACTTTGTCCCGTTAGCATATGTTCAAAGCAATAAAGCAGGTTAGTTAATTATGATGATGATGATGATGATGATGACGAGGACTCACCTGAGAGATAGCTTCTTGGTCTGCTGAGGCAAGCTTTTTCAAAGCAAGTTGTGCAGCGTCTTTTAGCTACATCAAATTCAAAACAAAGTAAATGAAAGTGCAAGAAAGTTTAGAAGCCAACTACAATTACTGTAATACCTGGAGATCTCTCACACGCTTCCATAGTGGTGGCAGGTCAACAAACAGATTTTTCACAGAAAGCTCAGGAGGCTTTGCATTTCTGAAAAAAGAATGTTTTAACAACTTCTCTGCAGTCGGTCTCTTTGTTTGATCTTTCACCAAGCACATGGCCACCATTTCTTTAAAAGACTGTTTAAAATGGAAGGTTGCTTAAAAATTGACTAGTAAAATAATATGTAAGTGAAAAAGAGTTTTTGGTGAACATCTACAGCTTAAACTATCACAATTACCTTAGAGAACCTCTTATCACGGTCATAATCAAGTCCAGGTGGGGCATTTTGAATGGTCATTAGCAGAACCTATCAGGAGGTGGAGACGAATAAATGTAAGGGTCTTGTGACATAGCATCTATGAACATAACCAGCTTTTTGTTGATATGTTACCTTCATTGGAGGATATTTTGAGAATGGTGCATGTCCATGAGCCAACTCCAGCGCAGTTATTCCAAATGACCAAATATCAGCCCTGTCATTTTGATGGAAAGCACTAAAAATATTTTCGCCAACATAACGAACCTTTGCAACATCAAATGATTATCATGGTACGACATCCATCCAACATAAAGAAGTCACTTCACAAATATCCTTGGGCAAATCATGTGTACAAAACGAAAAAACAGTATGGGCAGATTCTCTTTACGACTATAATTAATCAGCAGGAGATGTGTGGAAAATGAAGCAACACAATGTCAAGAGGGAAAATCCCAAGCTTTATATAACTTGGCTCACACTGCGCGAACAAAGTCCTGGAAGAACACACCATTACATCTTATAAGCCTAGTGAGCTACTATTATTACTAATTGGTTTTGGGATGGAACTTTACTTAGGTGGCAACTAAGCTCACCCATCGACTGGGTGTGCCTCGACCAAGTATCCCCCAACCCCCACCCAAAATACGAACTAAACAAGATGTACTCGTGTAGTCTCCTCGAAGATGCCACTACAAATGATATCGAGCACAATTTAATTGAAGGTGGTCAGTAACATCATATATTCATGCATGCAAAAACACCATTTGGATGCTTATCCAATTACAAAGGCATGAAGCACTTCTTTTCATATAACCATGTATGAGAGTATTAAGTAAAACCCACTTGAAATCATAACCAGTTCCTGGCTGCAAAACTTCTGGCGCCATCCTGAATGATATGGAAAAATGAAACTATTAAGGCATTTTTTATTACATACATGTGCGTGCGTGTGTGTAGAGAGAGATAGAAAGAGAGGAGAGATCAAAAGTACCAGCAAGGAGTTCCTACAAAGGTATTCCTTGAACGCTGCCTATCACCTCTGTCAAACATGCATGCTGAAACACCAAAGTCAGCAAGTTTCACCTCACCATCGCTATCCATTAATATATTTCCTGCCTGCAGGAGAAAAATGAAAAACCTTTAACAATTCACTATGTTGACAATCCAGAGGCCCAAGTCAAATTTTAATATAAATTCTAAATAGTAAAAACAACTAGCCTTCACATCACGATGGATATGGCCATGTTGATGAAGATACTCCAAAGCCTTCAAAGTTTCTTTCAAGATAGATCCGATGGCAGATTCTTCAAATCCGTCAGGGTATGCTATCTTCATGAGATGTAAGCAAGAACCCTCAGCCATAAAAGGCATAACCACCCAAAGGTTTCGGTCAACAACAAATGAACAAAATGCTTTTATAACATTGGGATGATCAATTAGGCTCATTGTTTGAGCTTCCTTACGAATATCATCCTGTGAATAAAAAAGGGTAGTATTACTTATTAAGACCAATCCAACATCTTTCACTTAATTTACAGGAGAAATATTCAAATTTAACGGTTCACTTTTTCAGGTCTACTGCAATATAATATAAAGCACCCAAGAAAGTGATATTCAATTGTCAGTCAACATACTTGAACCAAGTTATTCCCAAAGTTTGGCAAACAACTTTCTTAGGGGGAAAATAATGACAATCCAATTGTACGGTTAGCAGAAGATGTATGAATTTGGATTTATCGATCTAATTTGGTAAATGATAATAAAAACTTCTTGATAAATTAGTAAAGATTTGCACTAAGCTCTCAGAGAACCGAGACAATAAAAGTCCTAAGCTTGCATAAGTACCGATTATTCACTATTCAATACACCTAGAAAGCAACAAACCAACTAGAAAGCAACACAAACCAATTGAGAAAACACTAAGTTAGTTATCTCCGCAGAATATCAATCAGAACGTCCGCACACTGTTCCACATTCAACCCTGCCCAGCTACTAAGGATATACAACAAAACAAATAGCCAACAGAATATTTAGAAATTTGAAAAGGTTTAAGGATGAATTCATACAGTCACATTAGTCACTACGTGCTGCACCTGAAAGGCAAGAAGGCCAGAGTACTAAATAGGGTGAGAAGTTCTTTATTGTATATGTAGGTTGACTATTTGTAAAACCATATGCGGGTACTTAGAAACTTTGACACTCTTGCTTTGATTTTGATGATCAATGTGTGTGTGTGTGTGTGTTCAATTCTCTTATGAACATAATACACACATGTACACATTTCAAGGTTAATCCATCAGCAGGCTAAATTCAGATCATGCAAAGTTCATGGTTTACAGTTTGTGTTTTGGTAAGTATTACAAATAGCAACTTAAAATCTAGGGAAAAAATGGAAAAGGAAAATACAAGAGAGTTAAATAAGCATCAGCATGTTTGATGTAGTGTATCTTCAATGGGATGATTGTAGTGTCTACACACATAACAACATTACGTGAAAAAACGAGATGAAAAAAGATCTCTATATGAAAGAAGATATTTTAGCAAATAATGAAACAGGCTACTTAGATATGAACAACAACAATCGCAAATTGGCATAATTTATGATATGAGAATGAAGATCAACATGCTCACATTTTGAATCATCATGGGCAAGAACTCATATTGATCATTACTATTGTAGCCAGTCCTCTTCTCAACAATAGATTATGATCAGTAACTGGTTCAACACTCGAAAGGGAGATGTCCAGGTTACCAGAAATCTTTATCGAGCACCCACAAATCAGAAAAGAGCCAGAAATCAGAACTTTAAAAGAACTATCTCTTTTCTCAGTCAACGCTATTTAACTGTGCTTGTGAGATAAATGAAACGGGTCGTGAACTTCTTTTCCCAGAGAAGATGACCTAAACTTTAATGAACTTAGCCTAAAAACCTAGTCATAACTGACAGCACCTCTTACAGTGGATTTTCATATGCTGTCAGTGAAACTTGCATACTTGATACTTCTAAAGGCATTAACTGAACAGTTCAAGACCTACAAATCTTATACAAATGATTGAATGACACTGCAACCTAATCATAAAGAAATCAAATAGTGCAACTAAACATTCTCTAGCAATTGCCAACTAAACCAACTGAAGGATTCAAACTTTAGAGTTCTACCCCTTAATGGTTAACCAAGTCCACTCGGTCAACTTAACAAGAATTCCTACGAATCTAAAACTGCAAGAAAGTTCACTCATTGAAATTAAAAGCAGATTCAGAAACACATCCCATCTAGATATAAAATAAAGTAAACATAAACTTCCTCACACGAGAACAAACTAAAATTGAACTCAGAAATAAGCGGCGAAATTAAACAAGGTAACTAAACCACAGTAAAAATGGAGGAAAATGCTGAAAACCAAACAAACCAGATTGCTATTGCATCGATCGAGATCCAAGCACTTGACGGCCACAACTTCATTGGAAGGCAAATAGATCGCTCGGTAAACAGTTGCGCTCGCACCGTATCCCACCTCTTCTAGAAGTTTGTAATCATTAGAATTAGCCGAATACGTCCTCCCCATTTTTTCTTCAGACAGCCGTTGAGAGGACCATCAATCTCAAAAGCCTCGCCACTTTGATTTCTCAATCTAGGAGACAGAAATGAATCGAATCTTCACAGAAGAGCATGAATCTTCTTTCTATCTAACTTTTTTCCTCTCTTTGTAAGCTTAATCATACCAACTACTTACGGACCAGATGAGTCTACGGGTATGGACTGTATTCAAGTCTGCTCTAGTGTTTTTCCTTTAATCTGTCTGTTACAATATTTAATTTATTCATCGGGTGGATCTGCTGTTTCACTATTATTATTTTACTATTTGTGAATGCATGATATTAGGGGTGGCCAGTCCACGGGCCGGGTCACGGTCCGGCCTGGCCCGCCGGGTCCACGGGTCTCAATTTCATGACTTTTGATCGGCCCGCATTTTCTAAGGGTCGCGGGTTTGGACCGGCCCTGAACCGCTGGGTCACGGACCCGCCGGTTTTTGGCTGGTTCTGGGCCGATGTGGTCCGCTAAAAAATACATTATCGCCGTCTTTCAATCCGCCGACCCGGCCTGGTCTGCCAGGACAAAAAAAAGATAATGAACTTTAACCGAACTGCGACCCTACGGGTCCGGTTCAACGAACCGGTCCTTAGGAGGCCGATTCGGCCTGTGGACATGTCTACATGATATATTTAAAAAAAATAGCTATTTTTCTACTCTTTAATATGAGCTAAATTTTACGTACACACCTCCTAATACAGACTAAGTTTTACACAAGTTAATTTTTTCACCTCACTAAATGCAAAGCAAATTATGACCCCGTTTGATAGATAGCGGATTGAAAATAAATTAGCGGATTGGACTTAATTGAAAGTTTGACCCGTCAAATCCGCTATTGAGCTTGTTTGATAAATAGCTTATTTGATAAGTTTTTTAGGCCCAAAACTCTAATTTTGAAAAAACTCATTAGAGCAGCTTTTTGGGATAGAGGATTCACAATTGAGAGATTTTACTTAGAACTTTTTTATTTATCTTATTTATTTTACAACTACATTGGTTTATAGAGCTAATAAATAATAATATGTCATCCATATGATTAATTTATCTAGAAAAATATAAAATTCATAACTTCTTCATAAAGTGTTAGTAAATTTAAAAAAAATATTTATATTTATAAATTACCAATTAAAGAATATTAAATGTTTTTATATATTATTATTAAAAGAATACACCCTAAATAATAAAATGTCCTTATTGGTCATTTTGCAATGTCAAACAACTATAAGCTTTCAGCTATTTACCAAACACTTATTTAAAAACCGCTAATGCAATCCGCTGGTCAAATCAGCTAATATAATCCGCTATTCGCTATCCGCTAATACAATCCGCTATCTGCTATCCGCTGATCGCCAACCAAGGCCTATGTGTAAACTATGGGCGAATTTACATACATTCTATGTTGATTCCTAAAATATTGCAAAAATACTACATGGAAATTTTTTTTGCATATCTATTTAAATGAACATATATATTTAGAGAATTACTAGATATTTAAACAACTAATTAAAAATAGTATGTATTGCCCCTTTCCATAACTATGCACGGACTACAAATAAATAAATAAACAAAAATCACTCTCACCTGGTAAGTTAAATCTGCAGCACACCCCCGCCCAACCCCCACCGACGTTACACCCTCAAGAAGGACGTCGTCGCTGCGCATCAGTCGTCACCACCTCTTTCATGGCGAACCTTGATGCCCGAGCGCGAGGTCTACGACTACTCCCTACAAGATCTAGGTCGAGACCCGACCCCTCGACGGGCTCGCCGCTGATATGAGCCGTGTTCAGGCCGCAATCGATGAGCTTCGGGCAGAGCGCAAGGGCGGATTGGAAAATTTGAACGGATCCTAGTAGGCAAGTGAGGCGATTGAGCTCAGGTCCGAGACTGAGGCGGCGCAAAGGGGGATCCAATGGGGAAGGTAAGCGATCGAGCTCGTTCTTGAGATGCCGCAACGAACTTCCAGATCTGCCAAGCTATGGAGAAGGTGGTGATAGCCAGCGAGACCGAGAAGCTTCGTTATGAGTATACAGATGCAGAGAAGAGAGCCATGGTCGCGGTTCCGGGTCTTAATCCGGGTTCTGGATTCGATTTGATAAAAGATTGAATCTTTTTTCAATTCATTATTCATGTAACGTTTATTAATAGTTTATAGGTTAGAGTTACATATGTGATGTAAACTATGTTTTTTTTAGATTTCTTATGAATTGGTGGACTTTGCGCGTATAGCAACTGAGGAGATGTGTTGGAAAACGAAACATATACTAAAACTATACTGACTATAAACAACGCAAGTGAAGTTACTCTACCAATCGATGGATACTTTAATTCTGATATCGTCATCGGTAATTTATTTCAAGATAAAAATATGTTGCAAAACTAGTAGAATAAGACAAAATAAAAAGTATATTCTTTTGTGGTGTTAAAACACTGTTATAAATGGTTCACAAAATATGGATTATGATATGTGCATGAATCATCATATATTAAGTTTATATATGTTGTATATAATACATTTACTTCTGCGTGACGTACTAAGAAATTATAAAACATTTATTTATTTCAAAAGCCATAATTCTATAATTGTATAAGAAATTCATTCGCGGTTTATATGAGAATTCTTATAATCCATTATACGGTTTAGTTTTTCAGTTTATAACATGTTTATATGAGAATTTCGACATCGCCGGAAGTGTTTGCACCGATCTTTTCTTCTGCACAAGCTACCGGTCAACTTTAGGTTTAATATTATTGAACGGAAATTGTATACATATACCTATATGTTATAGAAATAATTATAGGTTATAAACCAGTAGTATAAACAGAATTTTTTTCTCATGAACAACAAATACACGATACAAAAACAATTAATATACATAAACTATGAGAAAATCGTTGTTCTCAGTATTTTCGGCTCAACACGGTTTTCTCTGAACTCCACAACCCATATATCCATCAATAGAAAAAATCAATGATCAGTATTCAATTACATTAGATATAGCCAAACACAAGTTTCAATTTCAACAGAGTTGATACCATGTTATGTAACCAAGTTATCCTCACAAGAAATTACGAGGCTAATCAGAAATGGAGGGACAATTAGATTGTAATGCCCCATTTGACTATGGAATTTTTGAGGATTATTTATTATTATTTATTATTAATTATATTTACTTGTTGTTATTATTATTTGTTGGATGCTAAAATTGTATTAAATGTCTAATATGATTTATTTGTCAAATTCCGATTTAATTCCTAATTGTCTGAATATGATTTTAATTGCCAACTTGTAATTAAATGCTTAAATGTTATTATTATCTAATTAAATGTAAATTCGTATTTTTATTAATATTATTATTTTTAAAATTAAATTGTGTGTGTTATAAATATAAATTTAAAACCGGTTCATGAATTTAATTTATCGAGCCCGAGAAAACCGTATTAAAGTTACGTCTAGTCGGGCCCGAGAGCCAAATCATTTCATTCAACCAGCCCGACCCGCGAGCATCCCAATAGCGAGCCTTGACGACGGTCAGCCCCTCATTTTCCGACAAACGAGCCGCCGCGTGTTGTCGAACGAACCCTACGTTCCGTTTTCGAACGAATGCCGATAACAGTACAAAGCTCGAACCGTCTCGCTTAATCCTATATACTATTTTATGTGCTCGATTATGTGAAATGGGTGTTAAACGTGCTTCGGGAATTTAAATTCGTGCCTTAGTTGAGTAATTGTATGAATTTTATTTTATATTCGCAAATTGGATATCAAAGTGATTGCCGTCACTTTGAATAATTGTCGAACTGAATGTAATGTGGTTTATTTCGTGGAAATCCTAGAGTTGTAGGTACTTGGAGTTGTCCTTGATCTGTTAGTTTTGGTTTGGAGTCGTTTCGAGTTGTATTTTGAGAGTTATGATTTTTCTAAACCGAGCATGCTGTTGAACTGTAATAAATTCACCATAAATCGAGTTGTTATTCTTTTGGGTTCAAATTTTAATATGTTGCGCCTATGAGTATGTAGAATATGTGTACCAATACCCTGATTTTATTTTTGAGTTTTTGGAGTTCAAATGGTTAAAACGGTTTCTGGGAAGAAAATTGTAAAAATCATTAAAAATCGTGCACTTGGAGTTTTGAGCTGAAACTTTTCAGGAACATGTTATTCTGTGATGTTTTAGGTTGTGTAAAAATGTCAGATCAAAATTCGAAGTGTAGCTATGTGAACTGTTAAACGCTGAATTTGGCGCTGTTTCTGCTTTAATTATTTAAAAATGCTCCTGGTTGAATTTAGGGCTGAAACTTGGTGAGTTTATGTGTTTATGCATGTTTTATAATGTGGTAAAGTATCAGGTTGATTGGATGAGCCTAACTCCTGATTCTGAATTTAGTTCATTTTAGAGTCTAAAGGTTCGGTTATCGGTTGTTTAGGTTAGGATTGGATTTTGTTGATGTTGGCATGACTTATGTGTATTATTTGATGAATTTGAGTCATGTCCAGGTCTGGTAATAACTCCATAGTGTCTTAACTCGGTTAAGGAATCCACGAGTCACTTGGTCGATGTGATTTCGGCTAAGTATATGTGCCTTATGTGTTGTTTTGTACTGGGCAGTCAGTGATAGGTCCTTATAAATTGTTGTAGGTCCTTCGAGCTGAACTCGTGCCGTAATTCCTTCAACTTTGTGTTTGGCTATACCTCTTGCTATCCAGGTGGGTTTTATTTGAAAATTTCTATGCATTAATTAGTTGTTATTGTTGTGGTATGATCAAAGTATGCATGTGAACCATGTAGCCTTCGATGTGAGCCATATTGGCCGTCGAATGGTTATCCCCATAGCTATAGAACGTACCCGATGGGGTGTCTCCTTTATTTATGTATGGCAGTCAGGGCGTGAGCCTTGGCTGGTGATCCTCGATGTAAGTCCGAAGGGATGTTTCCGGGCATTCGGGGTGGATTTACTCCCACTGTCTGGGCATCATATGTAAGGCCCGCGGGGGATTTCGATACGTGTATCAGCATTGGTGTATTGGTATAGGTGTGCACATGAGAGTTGACTCTGGGAAGAAGATGGGATATTAATTGATTTGTGTTCATACTGCGACCTGCTTTATTTTATAAATTTGAATATTAATTATTGCATAGCGGTGAGCACCTCGATTTTCCTATTGTGCTCATCCCCACCTGCTCTTCATCGATGCAGGTTAGTAATTTGCGGGCACGACAGAGGGAGGCGAGTGGTGGTCATGTTACTGATTCCTTCCGCTGTTTAAATTGCTTAGTATCATTTATACATTTCTGATTTACGATGAGTACTGGATTATTGATAGGGAGTGTACTCCCTAGTATTTATGAATTTGACGAACCCAGTTTTGGGAGTTGATGTTATTTATGAACCCGGTTTGGGTGTTGGCATGATTATGAACCCGGTTGGGGTGTTGGCATGATTATTGAACCCGTTTGGGAGTTGCATTTATGATATTGTTGATATTGTTTTTGGAAATGAGTAGCGCCTCAAGTGAATTGAAATAAATTTTGAAAAATTTATTCTGAATTTCAGCAAATAAAAGTAGGGTGTTACATAGATCATGTCATCGGATGTCGGGTTTCTCTAGTTGAATCCCTCATGTTGCCATTAAGAACCTTCTTCAACAATGTTTCCCTCCCTCGAAGAATCACTTCCTCACACGGCCGTCAGCGACGGAGCCGTCGTTGCCCTCACCGTCTCAGCAGCTCCTCATCTTATCACCTTAGACGACAAACCGCTATCTCCGGCCGTTGAAGGGTCAGCGCGCCTCCTCGGTTTGGTGGTCCCCAATCAAGAAGAAGAAGAGAGTGTAGTGCCATTTTTTATTTATATAATTTCTCACATTTTATTTTAATTATCCGCATTTTATTTTATTTATGTGTTGCTATTATTTTATGTGCAAAGCTTGAATATTATCCTTATATGCATGGCCTGACTTATAAATTGTTGGCTTGTATTTTATTTTATTATTGCTTGTTTCTATTTCATTTTATTTATTTGCATTCGATTACTATTGTGTGCTCGTTTTATATTCTTATGAATTTTCCCTCAATTTTATATAATTGCTTGTCTTTATATTTTTATATGATTGCTCTTATCCTTATGTTATGTATATTTTTTTTTTCAAAACGATAGGCATTCATATCACTAATAAAATTACAGAGTACAATCCGAAGGCTAAACAGCCTAATGTTACAGACCAAAGAACATAGACCATCATCAAGAGGGTCTAAACTCCCAGCACAACAATCCCTCCAAAAATAAAGATGTATCCCAACACAACAACACAATCATCATGAAGAAACAGTTAAAGCCAGGAAACCTGATTCCAATAACTGCACGTAGAACCAAACACAGAAAAATAGCAGAGGCAGGCTAAATAACAATGTACAAAAAGAGGGATAACACTACCAAAACCAATAGTGGACCTAGTGACCTTCCTCTCCTTCACTACTACTCAGTCACAAGCCTGCATTCCTTGAACTCCACCCACTGCAGCCCTGAGAAGTGCATCATCTAGCATCCAAATGGTCTCAAACTTCCAGAGATTCCGGGCTTTTCATGGCTACCGTAATATGTAAGTAGTCAGCTCAATCCTGGATTCTGAAATATCTCTTTTATCCACCGAGCAGACATTCCACCACCATTGTTTGAATGTGCCTATTTGAGTAGCCTCAGTCCATTGAACTGGAGCTAACTTCCAGATCCTCTTGGACCTAACACAATACAGTAGGACGTGCTCTACTGATTCCCACTCCTCACCACAACTACAGCATCTGGGATCTACTTTAAGTCCTCTTTTCTTCAAATTCAGACAAGCTGGGAGTGTATTACTACAACACTTCCGAATGAAGTGTTTGAGTTTATGCTTAACTTTCAGACTCCGTCTTCTTCCTCTGATTTGCCTAATTCATTGCTCTCAGCTACATCAAGCTCCATAAGTCTATTAAACACCAAATGAGAATATGAGCTTGCAACAGAATATTTTCCTTTAGCATCCGAAACCCACTTCCATCTATCAGACAGTAGAGGGTCTAGAGATTTTATATTGAGGATAGCCTCAACATCTGATTGGTGAAAGCATTCAGTCAGCAAACTCCTGTTCCAAGTTTTCTCATCCTCATGAACCAACTCCTTAACCCAAGTCGCTCATCCCAACCTTATTTCTGACAGGCAATCCCCTCACATTCCCAGACAACCATGGATCATGCCAGATATTTATATGCCTGCCATGCTTTACCTCCACTCGAAAGCAAGCTTTAAATTGGTCTTCAACTCCGATCCAGTTACTCCACAGCCAAGAGACATTGTATGGCCTTCTAGCTTGTAGCATAGAGCAGTCATGAAAGTACTTACCTTTTAAAACCCAGGTCATGAGCAAGTTGGGATGACTGACTAACCTTCATAGTTGGTTGAGTATTAGAGCTTCATTGAACAATTCCACATCTCTAAATCCCAGTCCTCCCACAGGCTTAGGTAATGTCAGTGATTCCCATTTCTTCCAGTGTACCCCAGCCTGCAGGTCTTCTTTACTCCACCAAAAACCAGCTATTTCATGAGAAACACCTTTGGGAAGGCAAAAACAGAACATTGAGGACATGAAGTGCACCCAAAACAGCCTTCATTCATACATCCTTGCCAGCATTAGATAGAAACTGATTCTTCCAACTCACTAATTTATCCCTCACAGCCTTCAGAATATAGTCAACGACTCATTGGATTTACCAATTCCTAGTGGCAAACCTAGGTATCTGGTATATCTATGAGATTGAATATCCCCCAACAGATGACAAATAACAGCTTTATGCACAGGCAAATAGTTCCTACTGAAGAAAATGGAAAATTTCCCTAGATTCACCCTCTGACCTGTGAATCTTTGGCAAAACACAGCCCTGTAGTATCCCACTTGATGTTTGCAGATGATACTTTGATAATGTGTGAAGCCAATGAGAACCATGCTCGAGTGAAACACTACAGGGCTGTGTTTTGCAATTTTCAGACCATTAAACGAACCCTTTCTCTCTTCATCTTTTATGGGCCTAGACAGCACCTCAGAGATGATAATGAAAATGTAGGGTGAAATAGGATCACCTTATCTGATGCCCCTGGAAGTAGAGATTTAACCTTTCAATTCTCCATTGATATTGAAAGAAAAGGTATTAGAAGAGATGCAAACCAAATCTAGTTCACAACCACAGGATGAAAACCCATTTTCAGCATCACTTTCCTGACACTCTCTCACTCAATGCGGTCAAAGGACTTCTACATATCAAGTTTCAATAACATGTAGCTCTTTCTTCATGAGGTGTGTCTGTTTAGGAAGTGCACACTTTCCTGAGCAATCACCACATTATCCAATAGCTACCTTCATGGGATGAAGGTAACTTGATTCTCATTGACACATGCAGATAAACAAGGCTTGATCCTCTAAGACAATATCTTAGCAATGACTCTATAAGCCACTCCACACAGACTGATGGGCCTGTATTGCTTTAAATTTGTAGGGTTCATGCATTGAAGTATTAAAGATATTACAGTGTGATTCCAACTCTTCAGGAGTTAACTCGATTAAAAAAAAGCTAAGGAGAGCTTTAGAAAAACCATCAAAGATCACATTCCAAAACTTTTGAAAGAAAATGGGGTTCATACCATATTGGCCAGGTGCTTTTCCAGGATCAAAGCTAAATAGTGCTGATTTGATTTCTTCTTTTGTAACTGAGGTTGTAACGGTTGAGTTCATGTCAGCTGTTGTTGTCTCTGGGATAAGGTGCAAGAGTTTAGCTTCTTCAATAGATCATTCTAAGCAAAACAGTTGTTCATAGAATCTGCAAATGTGAAGTTGTATCTCTTCTTCATTAGTGTACACCTGGTTGAGATCATCTACTAAGTGTGAGATATCATTTATTCTTCTTATCTATATGGTAATTGCATGGAAGTACTTAGTGTTTGAATCCCCATCTCTTAGCCACTGTGGTTTGGCTGTTTGGGCCCAAAAAAGTTCCTCTGCCTTAGTCAATCTGTTCAAATCCCCTCTCAATCTGTGCCATTCTCCCCAGTCTCTATTGTTTCCAAGAGTGCTCATCTCCTCCAATTTTTTTGTGAGAAGCTGTTTCTCTTTAATCTGATCTCTTCTGAAAGATGAACTCCATTTCAGTAAGGCCACTCTGGTTGCCTTAATATTCTCGGAAACCTGATACATTGGAGTGTCTGATTGTTCAATGGACCACCCTTGTTGCATAACTTCTCTAACCCTTTCTCTTCTAAACCATCTCTCGTCAAAGAAAAACCTTCTCACATTCTTTCTGAGATTCTGAGGATCGTCATTTAAGAATAATAGCCTGTGATCAGAAGCACTTCTATAGTTATTCTCCACCACTGCATGTTGATGTTCCTCCAGCCAATCATAAGAAGCAAATATCTTGTCTATCTTCTCCTCTATGAACCCCTCTGCTTCCCTGTTATTGCCCCATGTAAAGTTGTGGCCAATTAGCTGTAGCTCCTGCATGCCCATTCTATATATAAACTTATTAAAATCTTTAAACTCCCTCTCTGCTTTCCTTCTACCCCTACTTTTCTCACTAGCATCACAAATCTCATTCCAGCCCCCCTCCCCCCCAAGATCCATCTACTACTCCAACTACTGTTAGCATCCTCCAAATATTACCATTGTTGTATTCTTTCTCTCTTATTAGTGTTGGCATACATAAAGGTTATCCACACATCCCCATCCTCCCCTGAACCTGCTACCTCTAGTTGAATACTGAATTGATTGCTCAGAATTTACTTAACCCTTGCATCTTTCCTCCATAAAACTAACCCTACTGAGCCCTTGAGGTTCAACTGCAAACCAACTATCTCTAAATCCTATTTTATTACATATTGACTTCACAAAATTATTTGGTTTTTTGGTTTCTAAAAGAAAGACAAAATCTGGGTGGTGGTGTCTAGAAGCCTCCTTAATTAGTGAAATTGTAGAGGGTCCACCCAACCCTCTTCAATTCCACATTATAAGCTTCATTGATCAAGTGGGGGCCACTCAAGGCTGGCCACCCCCACCTCCAAAGAGTTGTTCTTAAATTTCTTGCCTTCCCTCAATTCTGTTCCTATGCCTTGCTCCCCTTCTTCCTCAATAATAAGAGCTCTTTTTCTCCTCTTAGTCTGAGCTTCTTTTTTCTCAGAGTTGCTCCTTAGAGATCTGATGCTTTGGCTTCCAACAACATTGGCATTTCTGGTCCATTCTCTTTTTCTCAGAGCAGTGATCTTCTATTGTCACCCCTCTCTGTCTGGTTCTTAAAAGTGATATCTGGAAGAGTTTTAACCATCTTAGTCTCCATGGCTAGAACTATGCTAGCATTTGTGCCTTGTATCAAATTCACTTCAGCAGTGGATAAGCAGGCTTCTTTCCCTTTGCTTATTGCATTTTGGAATGGTTCACCTTACTCTGTATTCTCAGCAATACTAATCTCGTTACCAATTCCAGTTTGCACACCACTATCTGCTGACTTGAAACCTGTGTCTCCCTCATGTTGTTCTGAATTGGTCTCTTGGCCTTGGGCATGATTTTCAGTAGATTGACTCCCTAGATTAGAGGCTGAGTTTGACTTATACCCATACTGGACATCAACTGCTCTCAGCCAATCTCCATATTACCCCTCATTTAGAGATCCGTTAGCAATATCATCCACCTTCTTGCTGCAAGCTCTTTCCAAATTGCCAATGAGTCAACTATAAAAACATACATTCACAAGCTTCCCATACTGGAAGAATGCCCTAACCTGAGTATCATGAAGTTTAAGTCAGACAATTCGTGGCAGAGGTTTATTCACATCAACCACAACTAACTATCATAAGAAACTGCCCCTTTGGCCCCCTGCTTTAATCACCGAAGCATTTTTGACTTGTAAGAAAACTTTCCCAACCTTTAGACCAACTTCAGTGCATAGCCAATTTATAGGAATATTACTCACCAGGACCCAAAGATGTAGTTTTGAGAATCAGTGATGCTTCTCAGTCATCGCTTCCTCCCATTCTGCCAAGATCAGATATTGATTCTCAAATACCCAGTTAGTTCCCCCAAAGAACCTTATTTTTATCCTCAATGCTTCCAAATAGGAAATAGAAAAAGTTAGTCTTCAGTTCTCTGACCTCTATTTGATTCTGAATCTGCCATATTGTTCCCATAGTAATACCAATTAGACTCGCCCGCCTATCCCCAGATTTTCCCAAATAAGCTCCGTTTACATTATGTTTCACTAATCTTGATATCCTCATCCTTTAGGTCGATGACTTGATTTTTCGATTCTGATATTTCTATGTTCTGCAGACGACAACCGAGGTCTTCCGTGTCCTTCACAGAGCTCGATGCTCTAGAAACATCGAACTCCATAGCGTCTACGAGGTAAAATCTCGATACATACTAGGTCAAGCTTGTAATCAACAAAGGTGTCCTCCCACCAACCCTCGATGGAATTCAACCCTTCTTCTAAGAGAATCTAACCACTACTTGGTAGAATTAATTTATTAGTTAGTCATTCGGTAATTTTTTATTCAATCGCGTAGAATAATTTTGAACCGTTTTCGACCTATTTTTCTTTGGCATTTTATCCGAACCTTGAAAGTCTACTTTTCAGCCCAAATATGTTAGAAATTCGGTCCCTTTGACCCAAAAATCCGATCCGCACGGCTCTTGATTTGGGAGCAATTTGATTGCATGTCTGTGATTAAAATTCATATAATTCCACGACAAATATGGATATTTTTAATCACCCAATCAACCCTTCATTAACCGTGCAATTGATTCCATTAGTGCCAATTAAACTTCCTCTTTATGGTAGGTTATGTCCCATTAGATTCCCTTCACTATTCTTTGATTTGCCTTAGTGATTTAGGTATGTTTCTCCCTCAATCCCTCCTCATTTTCCACACGAATCCAACATTCTTTCAGAACATGACACCCTCTCTCAAAATCTGAAGAGAAATCACTCTCCCTTCCCCTTAAATCTTCCCCATGCATCACCTCTTTCCCGGCATTGAGACTGAGCAACCGCGAGCTGTCCGAGAGCCCTACCTTATCGAGGATAGCCAATTATCGCCAAGTCCACAGCAGAGGAGGAGCCGCTTATGGTCCAAGAGCATCCACCACTGAGGAGCACACATAGTCGAAGATCACCGACAGAAGCCGAGCACGTGAAGCCGAGCCTTCATCCATTTCAAAATCGATTTCCTCCCTTGCTTGTAGATTCAAGAATAGAGGTTTAACTCTTATTCCTCGTTTAATTTTTATTCCAAGTTTAATGGAGGGTTTAGATCTCTTTCAAGCTTTGAGAAAAATCGAGTTTTGGTATGTTTTGTGGGAAAATTGGTGGAATTGTTGGAACTCTCTTGCGAGCCTTGAAACCTTTGTGTAGCATGTTGTTTTCGTCGCTGTTTTTGACCTCTAAAAGTTAGTCGAACGGTTTTGAACTCTCTGGAAATTTAAAGTTTAGTCTCTTAGTTTTATCTCGAGTAAGAATTAGGTTATTATCAATTTTGTACTTAAAGTTATGGCCGAAGTTCGATAATCTGGCATCTAGTTTTTCGGTATTGTATATGGTTTGTATTCCTTGCTGTTTTTGAATACTGAAACCTTGTCGTCTCTTTCTGAAGCGCCCTCATATAAATTGTAGCCCTATTTTTCATCTTTCATAAGGAAAAAGAATCAAGTAATTATCATTTTTGTATTGAAAATTATGTCGAATGTTTGATCGTCGCCTATTCAGTTTTGTTATTGATCATAAAAGTACAAAGCTATTCGTTCCTTGCTGTTTTTTACCATCATCCTTAAGTCATAAGTTGTTGAAGTCTAGATGTGATTTGTAGATCTATCTCTTATGCTTCCAAGGGCACTAAAATCATTCGAATATCAGTTTGGTTTAAAAAGTTACGTTCAGAATATGATCACTGCGCGATCAGTTTTTCTGTCAAAAGGGCAGCAGATTGTTGTTGTTGTCTTACCAGTTTTCATCACTGGAACTTGATAGTTTGCATTGGAGGTCCGCATGGAAAATGTAGATCTATCTCATAACTTTCTGTAACTTCAAAAATCAATCCAAAATATTTTCTACATTAAAAATTATGGTTGTTTTACGGGGACTGCGCGTAGAAGAACTATCCATTTTTCATAAACTTGGTTTTTATGTTCCCACTCGTCCGTTTTTTAGCCTTTCGACCCATTTTCGAGACGAACCTTAAATTTTAACCTTGTGACCATTATTCGGAGTCTTATTCCAATCCCCTGAGAGTGACAAAATTCCGCAAGAGTTCCACAAACTTCTTAATCGATAAATTTTTATTAAGTAGAAATTTCTGAGGAAATTCCAAGTTATTGAGATAAGAATTTTGAGATATTATCTTGATATAAATGTAGGTTCCTGATGAATCGAGCCTCACCTATCTACCGAGTTGTGTGATATTTTCCTATCGTCGAAACAGGTGGGTGTTGATAAACCTTACCACGTTCGTTATTTTTTATAGTTACTTGGCTTGATAATCAATGTATGCATGTGACCATTAGTATGAGAGAGTGTATCTCCATTGATGTTGTGCCAACGTTCTCCTATTTGTGCCTAATGATAGTGTATCTCCCGTTGATGTTGTTGTCGACGGTTTAGCTCCCATGAATAGGCTTGTCCCAATGGTTTAGATGTGTACATATGAGCGTAGGGCTGTATAGGAGGTAAACTAGATGATTTGTGTTCATGCTGCGATTATGATTTTAAGTCATTATACTGAATAGATTGCATGATATTCCCATGGTGAGCTAGTTGGTTTGCTCACCCCCATTATTTTCCTCCTTTTCAGGGTGAGCTGGCGGCACGGTGAAAGACGGGCGAGTAGGGGTCATTATTGCCTATTATTATGAATTGTTTTATGCTTTCTCTTATTTGAGATCTTTTGCTAGATTGTTTTGGAATAATTGGATTGATTATGTTTTGAATTGATATGCATGACTCCAAATCTTGATATTGCTTCGATATTTATTGATGAGTATGCCATATTATGTCTTGTTGGATTATGTGGCTAAGTGTTGATAGGATGGTTTATTCCCGAGGGCTTGAGTTGATCCTTTGATTTGGATTGAGTAATGCCCATTAAATTATCTTGAATTGTAAAATGAATTGCGAAAATTTTATATGATTTTTGGAAAAACATTGGCATTTTTTTATATAAATAACGGGGCGTTACAGTGTGGTATCAGAGCATGTTTATGTTTCTGTAGACTGCTTTTGAAAAAAATTTCTAAGTGTTTATGTTAATAACCCCTCGTCTTCGTCATACCACGCCAGCTCAAGGTATGTGATTAGTTGTTTGTTTAATTGTATTATTTTGGGGCTTAGAGATTTACCCTGAATTTAAGGACTTGAACTCTAGTCGTTAAGTTCTGACTTTAGAAGTTTTCTCGTTATAAGTTTCGGTATAGTGTCTTCGAGCATATACCATTCGCAAGCCATCTTGTCGAAAGAGAAGGGCTTAAGTAAAAAGGAATCACCACGGACATTTGGTGACCGATGTCTGGATGCCCTAAAAATGGACAAACAACCAAAGAAGTCCCAAGTGTGCGGGATTATTCGAAAGTCTGGAGCAGTTGACAACAGGACTAGCAGAGACGTGATAGAGTCCATCCATGGAGTACAAGGGTGGAAAAAAGTGCCATGAACACGTTGTTGTTTGACACCAAGGAGATTTTAAAGATCAAGTACGTTAATATTGTCGTGACTCTCGAGGGTGGCTAAGCTTCGTAAAAAGCGGTAGTTATCAA